AGTGTCCCACAAGAGTGTCCCACAAGAGTGTCCCACAAGAGTGTCCCGCAAGAGTGTCCCACAAGAGTGTCCCACAAGAGTGTCCCAAATGAGTGTCCCACAAGAGTGTCCTGCAAGAGTGTCCCACAAGAGTGTTCCACAAGAGGGTCCCAAATGAGTGTCCCACAGGAGTGTCCTACAAGAGTGTCATTTGGACATATGTAGTTTTTTGAACGTCTTTGCATTCGGGTTCGTGGGCTCCATCTTGTTTCTTGGGGGGTTAGCTCCGATATCCTTTAATGGTTGATGATGTTGATGTATTTTATGTCAATGACATGTTGACCCAATGACGGCCTTCTCAAGGCATTGCAGAGACTTCACAGTTCCGTGGAGGAACTCCGTGAGAATCTCAGGTGTGACTTCGCCTCCAACCTACTAGCGATGGCCTCTAGATTCGCAAGATGCCATGTTCGGCGCACACCATGGTTTGCACCATCATACCCGGCATGTTGCCACAGAGATTTGCTGGATGCACTGAAAAAGACGGATTGAAATTGAAATTAAGAGAGTTTCTGTAAATTTTGTTGTCCATTTGCGAGGGGAAGACCTGCTGAATGAGCATCACCAGCGTGTCCATGGCGAGGCCAGAATCACATTGGAAGATCATTTGAGTTGTGCCAAGTTGTTCCTGGCGGAGGAACATGTGGCATCTACACTGTCATCACTTCGCGTTGAGGTGGGCCGTGAAATCCGTGAAATGTTTTTTTGCGGGCGAAGAAGTGAGCGTGTTTTTGCAGGTCCACGAGCAAATGGAAGAGAAAATGGGTTTGTTGCGGGAGGAGGTGCGTAGCCTCTTCAAGCAAGGACTGCAGCTGCTTTGACATTTTTTTGAAGAACTTTGATCCCGAGTAGAGGGGGAATGAGAGGTTCTACCGAGTAGAGGCTTCCAACCCCTATCCAACATTACTGTAACAGCTGCTTTGCACCACCTGAGAGGTTTTCTTGAAACACGTGCCATAAAGTTTTCTTGAGTGCACATCTCGATTCTTTTGGCACCGTAAATATGGACTTCTACTTGCAACAATCAACCTTGGACCCGGGTTCCGCAAAGGACACCAAAATGCAAGTGATGTGAATGTGCGAAAGGAAATCAACACAAATCAATTAATTATTATTCGAGGACTTGGTGGACAGGGAAGTCAATTATTGTACAGCAGGAAGTTGACACTATGTTTGCAGCCAATCAGATGGAGTTGAATGGATGAAAGATGTGCTTATATTTGTGCAGCAAGAAATGAGGTTTACTGTTGCAGCGCACTAATCAGTCACTAATCGATTGGAGTAGAACAGGAGGTTGTTTTATTGTGTAGCTGGAGATGAGGTTCAGGAATCTACTAGTTGGAGTCTGGTATTGTCGTGCAGCGTGAAGTAGGGCTTACTATGGCCTACTGTTGTGACATATTATGACATACCAAAGTGGTAAGTTTTGGGAGGTCAAACTACGCGAGTACGGCTGGATGTTTGATGAATTTTAATTAGTTTCTTCGCAAAACACTTGTGTACAGACGAGAAAACGGCAGATGCTTGCACAGTCCTTTTCGTTCGTTTTGTCCCTGCCCCGGCAGATGTTTGCATTTTCGATCTTAGTCTCCCATATTGGTTCGGCTTTAGGGGAGGTTGCCGTTGGGCGTCTCTGTGAAACGACTCCGGGACGAGTCATGCCCGCCAGAGAGAGAGAGAGAGAACAGTTTTCTGTGCTTGTGATGTATTTGACGTTCACATGTACAGTTGGCAGGTGAACCTGCGAAGCAAAAGCAGCGAAGTGGAGCTGCAGCGCTTAGGGAGCTGCCGTTCGCTCGCATGATGGTGCTCCCTGACCTTCTGAATCATTTGCATCCTCAGAGCCGCCGCAAGTCGGCAGGTGCAGTGGCCTTCTAGAACAATCATAGTAGCAATCGCCAAGCTACACTCGCCCTTTCCGCGGAAAGCAAGAAATACTCAGATACTCTATAGGACTTGCGCACACCATTGAGAACGATCGCTTTTCAACATGCAGCTGTGCCACCCGAAGAGACATTCAATTTGGTTTATTGCTTAGCCATGCTTAGCCCACGTTGTGCAAAAATAAGCTCCTGAGGTGTGGAAGGTGTCTCACAGCAGCTTGGGGCGCAGATCATCACTGTGGCTGAGGAGGGGTGGATAGGGGTGGAGGATCCGGCTTAGTGGCCCATGATAATGGTCGCGGAAGGGACGGACGAGACAGGTTGCGGATAGTTGATGCATAGTCTGAAACCCAAGCAGTTAGCTGCTGACCAGTGGAGGGGAAGTGCCTGACATGACTGTTGTAGGGGAAGCAGCTGACCAGCGGCCTTGAATCAAGGGTGGAAGCCACGAGTTTTTTCTGAAAGGACCAGAGAAGCCTCACAGAAAACCTGGCAGCTTTCCAAGTATCAGTCGGCACCGTGGCGGAAGAAGTGTGCCTAGAGGATGGCCACAGCAAGCAGCAAGCTGCACACTCCCCAATAACGAGTAAGCCGGTATGATCCGGCACTGAAGTGCTGCTGTATGCACCAAGGGAACACTGCTGTGAGCAAGACTGCATTGGAGGAACTTCGCAACCAGGTCCGGACATGTCAGGATTACAGTGATTGCAGTTGTCACAGTAGATGGGACAAACCCATGGACCACTGTTAGTTGGTGGAGGGGTGTTATAGTATACCGTATAATTGAGCCACAGTGCACCACCTCCTGTGGATTGTGACATTTTTAAGCCGCTGCAGCTGCATGTTCAGTGGACCCCTTTCTTGTCATCTCCTTGTGGTTGGATTCTCCAACGGGCATTCTCCAATGGACAGTTTCCATATGAATCGAAAAAAACCCGGTAATATGTATTAAGTAAGGAAGGTTCCCAGAGGTTCAGAAATCGCTTGGCCACCGCTTGGCATTCTGGTGTTTAAAGTGGATATGTTACCTCGTCGCGCTAGCAAAACGCAGGGTTGCGCTAGGTTCGCGCTAGGTTTGGCGCTAGGATCAAGTACGTAGGTAACTTAGATAAGATTAACAAACAACACATACATGTATTGGTCACTAAACTTGTTGATTGGTCATACGTCATACAACACACACACACACACACCTGCACAGACCCAAGAGCAGCAACTTTTTGAAAGGCAGCGACTGTTTGAGACAAGACAAAGTGAGTTCTTGATCACAGACGTTTGGTGGCCTCATGCACTGGCAGGCAGGCGCGCTAGGTCCGTGCTAGACCCGCGCTAGATCCGCGCTAGACCGCTTTGCAACTTTGACCACTTGCCCAAGTGCTGAGCAGGGCCTACTACTCCCACTATTGGAAACACACACACACACACACAGACGCGTGAGTGAAAAAAGTTGAAAAAGCAAGAAGGGCAGCTGCTGGGGTGGGGGCGGGGGCTTTGTATACACAAAAAAAGATAGGATTTCTATCAACCTTATCTTGACAGCTTGTTTCTGGGTGCAAGAGGACGGCTACTTTCAGCTTCACATTTGAAACAGTTGGACTCTGTAAGTAAGAATGCAGCAGTTAAAAGGGCATGCACAACATACAACCAGATACATGAGCGCATGTTGTGTACATGATAGCCACCGCTTGGAATTGCCGCGGTTTCAACCTAGGATAATGATTTTAGAACGGCTCTTTTTTTCAACTCTTATGTTTCCATGGGTTTGAAGGTTTTCACGAAGCCTTGCCAAGCCGATGTTGCAGTTTCGGGAGCTGAGTTCTTTTTTGAGACGGGTATGGTGGCTTGAGACAAGTTGCGCAGCAACAGCGGCAGGTCGAGAAAGAGTTGCAAGTGGTCCTGAATACCACAGATGGTGCACTTCGTGAGAGGGAGGCGCGGTTGAGGTGCTTTAGGTCGTCCAACCAATGCGCTACTTGCTTTCTCATCTCACTGAATCGGTCAGTGTGTCGAAGGCTTCTTTGATTGCCGCGATGAAAGAAGAAATTGCCACGGTACGGTTCTTGCGCAGCAAGGAGCTGTAGTTCTTTCTCTTTCTCTCACCACAGGTGGCAGTGATAGCCACTGGTGCAACTCGAACGCTCGACTGGATTTAACAAATCTTGAGTTCAGCAAGGTCCGAAGCCCTCATCGAAGCGGAGCAGTGGAGGGAACGCTTCTCAACAGTGGAAGCTGCTTCGGAACGACTCTGTGCTGAGACACTCGGCTGCACTGGATGTAGACTACACAGCCCTGGATGTGTCATGTCAATGATTTAGCATTCCAAATTTTGGAGCGTCTCAGTTACAGTTCTCAGCCAAATTTGCACTTGCCTTTAACATCTCAACAGATGAGCAATGAGGATGGCCGCGGAGCATCAGCAAACCCGCATTTCGGCTGTTGGACTGGCAACAGAGCTGTCAGAGTTGCGAGATGCCCTTTCCAAGGAGCGCGTGGATTGTAAGGTTTGGTAGCAACCAGCAGAACTGTACTTTGGGTTTTGCTGACGCAACTTCGCCAGTTCAATGGGAATTGGCTGGAGCTCACGCGTAGAAAGCTAGCAAGATTGGCACTGTGGACTGTGGACGACTTTCAGACTGAGGAGTCCCAGTCCTACCAAGAATCTACAACTTCGGTCCAGCGCTGGGTAACTGAGACCATGTCTTTGAAGCAGTCACTCCAGGAAGAGGACGGAACGCCATGATTTGTGATATTTGAAATCAGAAGACGCATCAAAAAATAAATAACAATGATTAAACGTGCATCAACAAATAAACAAAAATACATAAACATAAAAATAAAATGTGTCAACAAAAATACATAGAAAGAAACGAAGGAAGGAAGGAAGGAAGGAAGGAAGGCTGTGAAATTGAAATGCGATGTTGCCAAACTTTGCCCAGATGCCCAGCGCAGAGAGACCATTGCAGTTGTTAAAGGAAGATTGCTTGGGGGAAACTCCATGATATCTGTTTGTTTGGTCGTGCCAAGTTACATTGAGGGGGAGGCGCTGCGCCCTCCCCCGCGCCCCCTCCCGCTTTTAATTAATTGTCGAGCGTAGAAATAGTTTCGGGTATAGCCTTCTAGGGTAGCCCATTCCTATTTGTTTGATTAAACTATATATTGTATTGGCTTTATTGTTCACTTATCACTGAGACTAAGCAGTGGGTCAGATCTGCACGGGTTAGATCGCATATGGCTTTTCATGCAAACATCGAAAAAAACAGAAAAACATGAAACAATAAAAAAACACAGAAAAACAGAAACAACAGACAAAACAAAAAAGTAAAAAAAACAAACTTGAAAAATCAACTATGTTTTTCTATTTTCAGCAACCCATTGACACACAATTGATCATGTGTGACAACAACAGAATCATTCACCGAGGATGCCGCCATGGGTGTGAGTGAGAGGCAACAGTTGACAACAAGCAAGCGTCTGAGACCACAACAGTCTGCAGAATGTTCGTGTCAGACAACGCTCACCACGAGAGTGTTTTTGCATATATTTCTATGTTTTTTTAAAAGTTTTTATGTTTTTATTTTTCAGATTTTTCATATTTTTATTTTTTTTCATTTTTAAGATTTTTTAAGATTTTGCTCCTGGAAAATTATTTTGTAATTCCGAAACCCTTTACCACGAACCCCCGGCTTGTGAGATGATTTGAGATATTTTGGGATTTTTAAGATTAAAAAGATTTTTTAGATTTATGATTTAACGTGATTTCCAAAGTTTTTTATTTTTTTATTTCATTTTTGTTTCTAATTAAAAACCATAGCTGATCTAGACCACTTGCAATCTGACCCAGTGCTTAGCGTCGCTGAACTTATTTGTTTTTATTTGTGTATCCTCCCTTCCTTCGTTCGTTCATTCTTTCACTCATTCATTCTTGCATTCGTTCATTCATTCAATCGTTCGGTCTTCTATTCTTTTCATTTCGTTTCATTTCCTTTCGTTTTGTTCATTTCATGTTAAATCATTTTCATTCATTCATTCAGTCAATCAATCAATCAAATCGTTTCATTTCATTTCATTCATTTCATTCGTTCATTGACTCATTCATTCTTTTTTCCTTCTTTCTTTCAGTTTCCTTTAGATTTACATTCATTGCGTTTCATTACCTTTTCAATTCACTTCATGCGATTTTCCTGTTAGTGCTTTTTTTGGATGCGTTCTTCCCTCTACACGTTTGGGTCCGTTTTTGTGTTTTTTTGATTTATTTGTCTTGTTTCCTTGATCCCCTGAAATATGTTTATTTGTTGATTCATGTTTGTTTTTTAAAGATCACTCGCCCGTTAATGGAGTATTGCTTTTCCCTCTGCACGTTTGGTTCCGTTTATTTTCTTTTTGTTCATTTGTGTTTTTCTTGATCCCCTGAAATATAATCATTGTTTGATTCAGTTTTGTTTTTTCCCCAAACAGTGTGGGCACACTGAGGGGTCCTTACAGTAGGGGAAAAACAGGTGTGCTTAGATCGCTGTGTGTCGCGGGCGTGTCCGGCTAATTCGTTGCTATATACAGTACATTCATGCCTCTCGACATCGTCAATGTGCATTTCGACTGCGCAGGCTCGCAGAATCTGAGGGCCCGCGGCGGGTGCTTCTAGCGACTGCGCTCTCGTTGTGGTGCCGCGCGCATTTTCGCACATGGTGGTGTCTTTTCGTGGCAGGTGCAAGGGAAACCTTACTTTTCGTGGCAGGTGCAGCACTTTGGACATAGTAGTGATGGTCGAGGAGCTCAGATTTCGTGACAGGTGCAGTGAATCGTGACTTTTGGACACGTGGCTCGTTTGCAGATTTCGTGGCAGGTGCAGCATTTGGTGAACCTCGATGTGCTGATTTCGTGGCAGGCGCAGCACTTGGTGAACCTTGAAGTGCAGATTTCGTGGCAGGCACATACAGCACTTTGTGAACCTCGAAGTGCAGATTTCGTGGCAGGCGCAGTACTTGGTCAACCTTGAAGTGCAGATTTCGTAGCAGGCACAGCGCTTGGTGGACCTGGAAGTGCAGATTTTGTCGCAGGCACGGCACTTGGTGGACCTCGAAGTGCAGATTTCGTGGCAGGTGCAGCACTTGGTGAACCTCGAAGTGCAGATTTCGTGGCAGTGAAGTGCAGATTTCGCGGCAGGCACAGCGCATGGCCAACCTCGATGGATTTCGTGGCAGGGACAGCGCGTGGTGAACCTGTGAACCTCGAAGTGCAGATTTCGTGGCAGGTGCTCCACCATCACCTCTCTGGACCCCAGTGCGTCTGGATCTCTAGACTTTCTGCTTACAGACCTCACACACACTCTGTGTGGGGTCTCTTGCCGGATAATTTTTGATCCCTCGCCCTATGAAATTCCTCTAAATTTGTGTCAAGCCTTGTGTCTTTTGAGCAGCAGCTTTGGGGTTGTAAATTCCAAGATTCATCCGTATTGAGTTTTGTTCTGGTTCGCTGTGATTTCTCAAGGGCACCTGCTTGTGAGGTTGTGAGATGTAGGAGTTGAAACTTTGGCCGCAGGAAATAGCACAGGCAGCCTTGAGCAATGCCGTTGCCGAGAACAAGTTGGAATTGGAAAAACAGGCGGCAGGGGGTTCGAGATGGTTCGATCAGGTGGGATCTTGACAGTGTCGAGGGTGCTATATCTGATCTGATGAGTAGACGAACCACCGTTCTGTGCTGCTCCAAGCAACATTTAGTGGAAGCACTTGGGCCATTGGTCGGTCAGAACAGGTTGCTATTGCGAAGACTCTGGCAGAAGCGACAGCCGAATACAAAAACGGCAAAGAGGAGCTGTGGCCTTTTGCCCAAAGCATGGATGTGGGAACGGTGGCTGTGGGATGTGGCGGATGTGGGTGCGCGTGCTTTGCTCCAAGATATTCCAAGAGTCAAGTGGGGCCGTTGTTTTTTGAAGGAACGTTCGCAAAGTGGAAACCCATGCTTGTGCCAAGGCAAGCCATGAGCTCCATACAAGATACCAATGAGCAGAATGTGAAGGACAGCAATAGAATGAAAACTGTAGAAAGATGTAGGAAGAGTTTTCAGGCACGGAGCCATACGTTTCCACATTGATTTAATCGACAACAAATTCTAGCCTGGCCACGGCCAGGACATAGAATCTCTACGTTTGCGTACTCAGCACATGGAGCTTCAACGATTTGGCCAGGCATGAGGTTGACGGGACGCACCACCTTGCGTTGAGAAAAACACGTAAGGCTTCACATGTTACATGACACGAAACCACATGAGTCAGAGACAAAACTATCGTCATTTGGTTTTAGCTGGGGTGTTTCACGCAGCTAGCGTTTACGATGCTTTCCTCGAAAAACGATGGGGGGCGTCCTAAAAACGAAACCGAAGAAGAAGAAGACGAAGAGGAAGCGGAAGCGGAGCGCCCCTTTATTTAAATGAGGCTCCCTTCTTGAGTCGCCCTCATTACTATAAAACTAAATTAGATATGTTTAAAGGCGCCCTTCCCTTCCTTTTTGCTTCTCGTTTTGTTTCTCGCTTATCAAGCACCAAGCATTTCAAATCGCCAGGTGACTCGCCAGCTCGAGGAGTGGCTGAGCTGCAGAAATGCCTTCATCGAAAGCTGGTGATAAGATGGAGAAGAGATAGGCCATGCCAGGCTTAAAGATGCGGTTTGGAGCCGTCAATTTGTTGTCAGAGGTGCTTGTAAGATGGCTCCGGTGCAAATCAAAACAAAGCCACCAGACCTGAGCTCCTTATGTCGAGGCTGACCGTCCAGCAGGGTGACACCACGGGCAAGCTGGAGCGGGTAGAGCAAGCGCAGAGCAATACTCATCGGGCCTTGTCTTCCAAGCTGGGCGGACATAGCCAAGAGCTTCAGTACCTGGCAGGGAAGATCATCGAAGTTTGGAATGATATTCGATTAGGTTGGTCAGGTAGGAGATGTTAGGGCGGGGCAGTGGCGCAATGTTGCCAGCAAGAATGAAGAGCTTGAACGGCATTCGGCGGATGGTTGAATTGAGAGGCATTGGTGTGGAGTTGTAGCTGACAATGATGGGACCTCATGTTGGAACCTGTGGTGCGACCGCATGCGGCCTTAGGGGGTGGCCAAAACAGCTATTCCGGGGGTCATGTCACCTACTGGAATATTTTTTGAATAGTTGCCATGGAATAATATTTAAGCAAGGTAGCGGGTTAAGGTACCACCATCGATTTCAGAATAGTAAATTTGAAGCGTTGACGGGTCTATCAGATACAGAAGTCTGCAAATTATTCTGCAATGTGAACGACATATTGGAATAGTTTTCAGAATCTATGTGGGCAGTGGTCAGGATGACCTTTAACTCAGACCACTCCGTGGCTGGCTCAAAGCCTGATGCCCTCGTGGATTCCGGAGCTGATCCAGATCTTGACCTGGGGTAGCTCAACTGGTTGGTGGGGTCTTGGTTGTCCGTCACATTGCGGTGCCTCGGTTATCTATCTTCTGGCCATCGTAATTTGCTGGCTTCTCCTCTGGTTGCCTGACCATCCTGGTCTTCTAGCTTTGGATTTGCCACAGGCACCTACTTCCCTTGTCACCACCCGTTACGCCACATCCCGCTAGATCCTTCGATTCGAGGATCGCGCTGTCTCCACGGGCCTCTCGGCGTAGTATTTGCATGAGCGCTCCTACCAGCCTACACATTCTGATTGAATCGGTCGGCTGCTCACGCTGTTTGGGGCCTTGCTAATACCCTGGAGTCGGCGGCAAGCCGTGCTGAACAGCCTGCTGGTGTCCTCTTCCAGGGCACCCCTTCCATCTCCAGCGATACAGTCGATACAGTTGATTGGGGTCTTATCGCCCAGCTTGACGCTGCTTCTGGTCATCCGACTCGCGCTTTGCTTCCTTGAGGGCCTTTGCCATTGGCTTCGACAGGCTTTAGTGAAGTGGCAGCTAGCAATCCTCCTTTGCCTAATCATTGCCTTGACCTTTGTCGGCATCTTGGGAAGCTGGTCATTGGACGGCTACTATCGAGGGTCGAGTTGCAAAGCCCCACCCTTCAAAAAAGCTGCCCGAACAGGACACCACATACATCATCCTTCAAGGACCAGGAATTACAAGACCAGTCGGATTTAGCATACAGCTGGCTTCGGCAAGAGCCGCCAACACACCATTTGGCGCTCCCATGGCGGGCTCTTTTAAGCCTGCTCACCACATCCATGATGTGGGGCTGGAGTGATTGCTCTCTCGTGGGGAGGCCTGGCGAGGATAGGTCCTGAATGCACGCAGTAAGGACCTAGTGCTTCCATCTTCTCTATCGACTACATCCTTCTCCAGATTGCAGAGCCCAAGACGAGGTACAGAGCAGCCCGACACCAGGTTGCCCGGCTGGATCAGCCCCAGCTGAAAATCATAGAAGTCCAGATAAACACCTTTGGCCAGCTGCAGGACAGACGGTGAGGCACAGGTTCCAGAGCCTCATTGCCGCAAACTCCATGGACATGCTCCCTGCAGGCATGAGCAGAGGAATTGACCTCGGCTCGCTCAGGGCGGGCGGCGCCTCCTGGATGTTGATGGTGTCGGAAGACGGCGAGATGACTCGCCGCCGAGACAGGTGGCTCTCGGCCAATCTCATGGAGATCTATGTTCAGGAGGCATGAGCTGTGCAGTTCCTGCCCCGATTGCCTCCTGTCGAAAATTTTTGAAGGTGTCGCCCTTTTTCGCTGGGCTCTTTCTAAGGTGGTGGAATGGTGACGCGCCACCATGCCGCCATTCCAGATTCAGCATAAATTTTGTTCTTGAGTGCAGCGCAGGCTTTTGAGCAGCAAGTGTTTGAAGTTTCCGTTGATTTGAAGAAGTTGGGTGGAGGAGATGACGCTTTTGGCCACATCGGCCGTGTACATCCCCCATCATATATGGAGAAAAAACATGCGGGATGAGGTAATTAACTATTCCAGGGGGGGGTGACAGGGGGTCCCCTTAGGCCCTTAGGCCAGCCCCTATGCGAGCGCTATCACCAAGGCAGGCGCAGGCGATGTTGAACCAGCTCTCAGAGCAAAATACCCAGCACGAGTACATTGAGAGCCGGGATCGGCAGCAGCTTGGCTTTGGATACATCGTGAATGCTCAGGCTCAGGCTCAGGCCTTCCAGAAATAAACAACCAAGAAGCTGCGGTTTCTCATTCGGCGGCTTTGAAAAGGTACCGCCTTTGTGTGACTATGGATGGCGACATTGGTATCTTCCGGCGGTCTGGATGGGGCAAGCATGGCAGGGACCTCAGTCTCGGGTCAGGTTTGTCGTTACAAGGGGCGGCCGTTTTGCAACGTTTGGTGTGTTGCACTATGCAACCCCTCGTGCCTTCGTGCTCAGGGGGCGACTTCGCAGGTGTCCCGCGCTGGCATGCCGGAGCTGTGGGAGACAAAGCGCTGTGCTCAGTGAACAGAGCCTTGGCGAGAATGAACTATATATCAGTTATCAACCTTTCCCAAGCATTTCTGGCCTTTTGCGTGCGACGTGGTAAGCAGCGCCAACACTCGGGGCCTTCTGCCGCAAATCATGGGAAATTTTTGCACTTCCCTGGCCTCAAGTATCTGAAAAAATAACATGAAAAAACTAGCCGCGCTTCCCAAGGAGAGACGCAGGCATATGAAAAGGATCGCTTTTTGGCCATGGCCAACCGTGAGCTTCAGACATGAGGGGACGGATCAGATGTTTGGTGCAGCCTGAGCCAAAGGCTGCTTCTGCACCAAGACAGCCATAAGAGGATGTACTTTAAAGGCTTTCGGAAAACTCCAAAAGAAACCTTTTGGAGATCCGATGGGTTCGTTGGAGGATGAAGCCTCCCATTAATCGACTGGCCATCCAGTGGGGCATGTGCTTGAGCCGGTTTAGGGCACTTGGACTCCGCGGCCAAGCCGCGATGGCGAACTCAGCCAAGCTGATCAGGTGGCCCATGGACATTGGATGAGATTGGTGTCCCAAGCAGGGGAGATAAATAAAACTCTACTGTAATTGTATTTCATATGACTTGAGCGGATTTCTTTTGGGATTTGCGCCTCTTTTTGCATTGTTTACATGTATCATTTTGGAGTCGAGTCCGCGTCTCCGGCTTTCTTCTGCCACCTGTCAGGCGTCCTGCTATATAGTCGTGCAGCTCTTGTGCTGCGGCTGCGTTCTTGGGCCCAAACCAGCCGGATATGGCCAGCAAGCTTCCGCAGAGCGCATACAAACCTACAGACCATCAAACTTGTCTAGTGATAGTGTATTGTGCGCGACCCGAAGTCCATTAAACGCACCATGGTGATCCGTGCCGCATGCCTAGTGGGTGCCGGTGCGGTCTTGATGGGTGCCTTGGACTATTGGGCTGCACCGACCTATCCAGTGCACCAGTCCGGTGCAGTGCTCATCACCGGAGCCTCGACAGGCATCGGCCTTCATGCGGCAAAAGGTCTTGCAGAGATGGGTTATCGCGTTTACGCGGGTGTCCGCTCGCAGGCAGATGTAGAGAAGATCAAAAGGGAAAACCCTAGCTTGGAACCTGTGATCATTGATGTGACCATTGAGGAGACCGTCACAAGGACCGTTCAACAAATCAAAGAGGAGCTTAAAATCCAAGGTCTGAAGTTTGTTGGCCTGGTGAACTGTGCGGGAGTTTCGAGGCGTTTGCCACTGGAACTGGAAGATATGGACATTGTGAAGCAGCTCTACGAGGTGAATGTTTTTGGAGTCACACGGGTGACCCAGGCCTTTTTGGAATTGCTCAGGGATTCCCAAGGACGCATCGTCAACATCGGCTCTGTGGCAGCCTTGCTTCCGCACAAAGGTAGCAGCACCTACAGCGGCAGCAAGGCCGTAAGCTGAAGGTGAAAATATTGGGCCATGATGAGGGGGATGCGTGTTTTGACGGCCTCCTATCATTCCTGGATCATCCTAGACTGTGACTGTACAAATGTTGGCAATCCTTTTGACAAATGTCACCCAAAATAAGCGAAGCATCCGCCCTTGAAGCCAGAATCACGTGGAGGGTTGTACTGTTGTTCCCAGACTTTTCCCAAGACCTGACTCTCCCCTAAAGGCGGCGTTGGAGATGATTACAGATAGCCTTCGTCTGGAGTTGGCGCCCTGGAAGATCTCCGTCAGTGTGGTCCAGCCGGGCTACGTCCAAACGGCCCTGGCGGAGAAGCAGACCGGCGACAATGCCCCGTGGCGTAAGGCAGACCCGGAGAAGAGGACCAGCTGCTCTTGGGCATGTCACAAGCAATAATCATTATACTAGGCCCTGATGAGTTGGTACTTGCCGAGCGACTATGAGATTTCAACAAATCCTATGTCATCTCAGCATTTCTCTGACTTAGAAATTTTTTATGTGTTCGTTTTCGTGGTCCGGTCTACTCTCTAAACAACATTTGGTTGACTTGCCACCTGCACACTAATGATATACAAGTCCTATGTCATTGGTTGGTGTGTCCCCCTGTCTCTGTCTATTCCCTTTACGGGGGGAGACCGGTTTCGAGAGATCGGCCGGGGGAGACAGGTCGGAACGGGTTCGACCTCTTCGGAGCGGAGTCTCCGTGTCCCTCCCCGTTAAGGGAATAGACACAGAGACAGGGGGAGAGGAGAAAAGGTGTAGAAAAAGTAGCTACTGTAGTTAATTTTTAATTCTTAGTTATTTTCCTGGTCAAATTCCTTCAGTTCCTGTCTTCCATTGATGTTTCAAGAGTTTTGAGGACATATCTTAAAATTTAAGATTTTTAAAGACTTGGGACTGACACTTCTTGAGGACACTTCTTGGGACTTGTGTGCTTCTTAAAGAGGTTGATGGGAAGATATGGTCGTTAGTTGGGACAACTCCTGAGTCATTGTACTCACCATGGGTGAACCACCCACAAAAACGAAACGTTATAAAATTTTGATCATGTCCTTTCTCTCAAGCTCTTTTCTTTGACTCTGGCAGCATGTCCTATGTCATGTCCCTCCATTTATGCCCCGACTATGCTCCACAACTCCCATCTCTCTAGAGCCTAGTATATATATTCAGCAATCAAATGATGGGTGATATTGATGAATTAATAAGCATACAGTGTAAGCAGCTTCTAGTATAGTATGTATGCAATTGTTACGTCGTCCCTGTGGCTGACTTGCTTTTCCACAAATTTCAATTCTTTTCACAGGACACTTTACCAAGCGTGGATCGATAAGTCCGACAGCAGCCGTCAGGAGGCACATGATAAAGCGCCGGGCCCGGAAGTCACCACTGATGCCATCAAGCATGCTATGACCAGCACGAAGCCAAAGACCCGTTATGTGGTGGCAAACGTCAAGGGCACTCCCGCGTGGGTGCTGGCCTTTCTGGGATGGTTCTTGCCTGATCGTGTGAAGGATGTGATCGTTCAACGATTCTGAACTTGATTTGGCAACGCTTGGTTAGCCAAGACTTTGGAGCGGTTGGCTCCATGGTTGTGCAACAGCAAAGGAAGAAGCAAAAAGGTTGACATTGCGTGATTGGATGGTATTGGGCCATCATCAATAACACCTCATGTGTCAAACTGCATCCAAGACAGTCTACATTTGTATGGACCATGTAGAGCATGTCATTTGCACACAGTCTTTCCTTGATGCTGGCTGTCGCATACATCGTTGGTGACGCTTTGCCAGGCTTGGTGAAGATGCGGCAGCAAAGGCCAAAGTGGATGAGGCACAACTTCGGCCGGAAATGGGTGTATATATCCAGAAGGATGTTGATAGAGGCTTGGCGGTCATCGACTCAAAGCGAAGTAAGCACCCAGCCCTCCTAAAGTCAGCGGAAGCAACACTTGCCACGCAAAGCGTGGGCTTGATTACACACCAAAGACCACCCAAGTTGTTTCATGGATGGATTTTGCAGATGTGACGGCTTCTCGCGGACCTCAGCTTGCGTCAGCATAGAATCAAGGAACAGGCATGTGACATAGAAGGATGAAAATGCAGAGGAATGAACAGATGAACCTTGACAGCTACAACTTGGCCCGTTGAACTCCGCTATATAATTACATGCACTTTGTCATTCTTCTCAGCACACTGCCGGATTGTTTTCAGGCAAGAGACTGTCCATTTTCGCTGCCATGTCCCCAACGCCAGTTTGCACACTGGCAGTCAGCAATTTGTGGGCACCGCGCACAGGGTTGCTTGTATTGCAGTCATGCATGGTCGCAGGATTGCGAGGTAGATTACCATCAGTGAGTCAGAGAGCCATGTGAAGGTGCAACAGGGGTGTGGGGGAATTGTCTCGATTGGGCACTGACCAAGGATCCCGATTGGGCACTGGAAAGCAGCTCCACTGCTGTGCCGAAGGGCAATGCAACAACAACTGCAGCAACTGCCACTGCGGAAGCAGAGGCCTTGGAGCTTGCTGCGTGGCACTCGCTCGGCTCGCCTTCTTTGTGTGTTGATTGCTTGGTCCGCCCTTCTGGCTTTGCGGGGGAGCTTCGTTCTGACAGCGCTGCTGGTCTCGCGGCTCATGCTGGTGATTTATGCCATTATGTTTGGGTCCCTCTCAAGACAAGCCGATGGCCTGCTTGGTCCTCGGGGTCTTGTGCCACTACCTGCCAATGGGCCTTTGGGGCGGCTGGAGTGCCCCAGCCGCTTGGCTAGCATTGCTTCCTGTTTTGCGGGACTCATGTGCGTCCTACCTCATCATCCCTGGAGCGCCTTAGCAGTGTGTGGTATGCTAATTTGGCTCTCACGGATTTACCGCGGCTTTATGACGGTGGACTTCCTCCGCTTCCAGTGGGATGTTTTGGCATTGGAGGCCGGTGGCCTGGCTGTGCTGGCCTCCCTGGCAGCTGTTCCCACATCTGCCAATATGCAACTCTTTTGCTCAGCAATGGCCATGCATGGTTTCACGCTGCTTTGCTTTAAACTCATGTGGGGCTCCTGCCTATGCAAACTCCTCTCCAACTGTCCAGAGTGGAACTTCGGCACTGCGATGCAGTATCACCATCGGACCACCTGCCTTCCAAAGCCATGGGCACGTACCCTCCATCGTTGGAGTGGCTCCTCCCAAGCGTCTTCCATCCAAGGATTGCTCACACTGTGGGTCGAGGGCCCACTGTCATTGCTGTCCCTCACAGGCTGGCCCTTGGCAAGAGCGATCTCTTGCGTCCTTTGGTGTGGTTTGATGATTGGCATCGCAGTGTCCGGGAACTACGGAATCTTGGAGTGTCTGTCTCAGCAACTCCCGGACCTTTGGCATTTCTTGAGGCCAAGGCTAAGAATGATGGGCTATCCTAGAAGCCTGCAGCTCATGTTTCTGGGTAATGACGTAGTGAGTAGTGAGTTGAGTAGATTCCTCAGACAGTCCCCAGGTCTAAAGCACAGTATTGTGTGTGTGAGTGTGTGCTTGTGTTTGCTTGTGTTTAGGATAGTGTACCATCACATGACTTTCCCCCTGCTATACTGCCGGTGTTTGCACCATGGCAAGGGATATATGACATGTCTATATATATACTGTATATATTTGTATAATATCATTGTGTAAATTACATCGGTGTGTGTGTGTGTGTTTGTGTGCTTGTATGATCTAGATTCAACATGATCGGAAGGTTGTTCGAACTCGTCTTGAGGATTCTTCAATGCCCTCACCTGTGTGATTGCTACAGCCTTGCTTGACGACAGCCAGCTTGCCTGGTTGGGTTTGAGGGTGACAAGCCCAGGGCCAACAGCGTCACCCACAGTTGGGTTCATCCGAGATTGGTTGGGCTTTGGCACTTTCACATTCACAGTTGCTGCCTGGGCTTTGTACACAGCGGGGACCGTTGCGACTCTGCACACCATTTGCCGAGCGGACGCGGCTCCCGTTTGGTGTCGTTGGGCCGAGAAGTGGTTGAGTTCACATGGGCTTGCGGGAAGATACGGGCTTTTTGCACGTATGACCACCACCAGGGATGAGGTGATCATCAAAGAGTTGCACAGGTTGCCAAAAGCCTTGGCTGAGAGTGCTATTCAGGATGGTTTGGCCAAGCCAGCTGCTGGTGAGGTAGGGAAGTTCTGGGTGGAATTGGCCCTCCCCTACAAGCCAGGACCATTGAACCGTGCTCCTCCAGTGCTGTTCACACATATGCCTCGCTTGGATTGGCAGATGTGGTTTGTGTCCTTGACATGGGCCAGGTTTGATGAAAGGCCGCTGTGGTTCGATCGCTTCTTGACCGCTTTGCAGAATCGGAATCCTGACATCATTAAGCTTGTGGAGCATCATGGCCAGCACCCTGTGCAAAGCCGCACCCTTCGCCAGAAGCCAGAAAAAATCCAAGTGACGCTGGAAGACTACCAGTACAACGATCCAACTCGAGAGGCCAAAGCAGCTCCCGATGGTGAGTGCGGTGACTGGTGGTGCCGACAGCCGCAAGGTGAGTGGAAGATTCATATAAAAAGATAATGCAATAAACTGAGAATACAGAACATAATAATATGTGACTGTTGGCTGTAAATAATTCCAACCATATGTATATATTATGGTTGATTCATTTCTGTATGCTTCGCACACTGCTGCGATCAAAGTCCTCGGGGGGCATGCTGAAATCTATGACATTGATTTTGTTAATGGTTCTACTGTTCTGTAACCTGAAGTGTGTGAATATGGCATACGTTCTCGTGTTTAAAGACGATAAACGTTCTTATTTCCGCGGATTCTCGGCTTCAGCTCAGTGGCTGATGGGTGACATCCACGACTGGGCATCTTGCCGGTGCCAGTTGTGCTTGGCCTCACAGCGACTTTTGCTGCTCGTGTGCAACGAGAAACTTGGTGAGGCATTCTCACGAGCTTGTGTGAGAAAGCTTCGTGAGGTCTACATCGAGTTGCTCGACGAGGCCGAGAGCAAGTCGAAAGAGGGGGTTGGGAGAGCGACATATTCGACCCCCGCTTTCAAAGAGGACACCGCTTCAAAGGGAACTGCCACTCCCTCTGGAGCAAAGGACACGAAGAGTCAGCCATCCGTGAAGAGTGAGAGGAGCGAGGAGGAAGAGGACACTTCAGCAGCTGGTGGGCATCGTGAGGGAGAAGAAGAGAAAGCATCTCCCGAGAGCACCCCTACAAAGAGTGGAAAGGAGGAGAAGAGGAAGCGTTCAAGGTCCCGTCATCGTCGCCGCCGTTCTTCAGAGAAGAAGTCAAGCAGAAAGGACAGAAGCAACAGCAGGGGGAGAAGCAGACACTCCCGTAGCAACGTCAGGTCGAAGAAGAGCGCCTCGTCCGCCTGCCCCAGATTCTGAACACCAAGGTTCCGCAAAGGCTTCATCAGAGCCATCACGTGAGCCCCGAGTCAGATCTCCGCCCAGGCCATCGAGGTTTGATCCTGCCGCCCGACGAGCAGCTCCGCCGCCATCAAGCTGGACTTCATCAAGGGTGGAGTCAGGAGAGGATAGAAAGGAGCGAGGCAAAGTCCTCCCCCGGAGAAAACCTCAGGAGCCGGACCGCCCGCCACCTGGCCATCGAGACGAGCGAGATTGGTCATCGTATCAAGCCTTTCCCAAGTCCAAGGGTACAGGTATTGGCCGGTGCGAAATCGAGGAAACCAGCCGACAGAGTCCAAGGGAAAGACCAAGAGAGAGAGAGAGAGAGAAAAATCTCAACTACAGGCTGTGGAACGAGTACGACCGTGAGCAAAAGAGGCGGTGATGCCGCCGAAAGTTCTCAGGCGGCCGGGGGGTCGAGCACCCGGCCCAGTTCGAGGACGAGGAGACAGGGAAGCAGTGTTGAGAAGGCCTGCAATGAGAGAGAGAGAGAGAGGACAGCAGACGAGCTAGGTGGGATGTGGAGGCCCATCCCGGAGCTCAGCATGGAAGAGATCGGGCTCTTGGACAAGGTGGTCATCGAGGGCAAGTACTGGGAAGCACCGTGCATTGTGGCCGGAGTTGTGAACGGCCTGAACTTCAGAGGAGGAGACAAAAAGTTGAGAGTGTTGGTAACAGGCACCCAGACGGAAAGCCTGTTGAAGGCTGTTGGAGGTCGATGCCAAGAGATGGAGGTGCACCTTTGCAGCCAGCCTTGCGAGAGTCAGGTTTGGAACAACAGTCTGGTTCATGTAGAGCGCTTGAAGGTGCAGTCCGAGCCCGTCGAAGCGTGGTGCACCAATCTTGAGGACGCACGAGGTCGAGGTCTCGCCGCAGTGGAGGAGCCCGAGGCAGGAGATCAGTTGGTGAAGCTGAGAAAGGAGATGAAGAAGGTAATAGAGGGAGTAAATATGGAGGAGTACTCTCCCGAAGGCGGTGCCGCTCCCGTAGTCGAGGGAGACAAAGAGAGGAGCAAGGCAAAGAAAAAGGTGAAGAAGAAAGAGAAGGAGAAGGTGAGGCCTTGTCTAGAGGTGCCTTTGAAAGACATCTTCGCTCGGACTGGGGTAGACCCAGACCCCCAAATGAGAAGGTCTTTGATGCGAAAGGCCCGAAAGATCCGACGAGGAAAGAAGAAGAAGAAGAAGGGGAGCCAATCCCGCAGCAGGGAAAAGGAGGACCAAGACAGCGATACCTCGACTACCTCATCAAGTCAGGAGAGGACCTGATCGGTTCAAGCGAGTTGTTCGAAGCAGAACGACGAGCGCTTCAGATTTGGAAGAGAATTCCCGGAGCTTTGTCATGCGGAGTGATCCAGGACATGCGGCAAAGCTTGATGACAGCCGAGGGGTTCCTCTCCGCCAGCAGCGAAGGGAGCCTGCCACCAGTGGCCAGCCAATACTACAGACAGCACCTTCAAGGTCAAGTGGGACCGGTGATGAGAGATGCAGCATTGGTGCCTGGTGGTGGACCTCATGCTACGCGGTCGACCAGCGGCCGCATTGGACGTGGCAGCACAAAGGATAAAATCCTTGGAGCAGATCGCGAAGTTGGAGGGCGAAAGAGAGTAGTGCTGTGCCTCTGACTGGTGACTTAGGTTCAGAAGACCGTCTTTCTCCGCATCTTGATTTTCTTTCAATTTTGACACAACCTCCGCATGCGCGGAAAAACCTGCGTTTTGAGTCTTTATATATATATATATATACTGTATAGCATGTTTGCTTTGGGGGGTTGAAACTTTGCCTTGCAACCTTCCTACTTCCCCAGGCAAGTGTTCCTTGACTGGCGTTTGTTTCAGCAAAGCTGTTCGGCTGTAGAGTTGCACAGCGAGCAGTCATCATATATTCTCACAGTTCTTTGCCAGTTGCCGCCTTGTCGTGAAAATGCTCAAAAAAAGAATGTCCGCATCAGCTCACTGGTTGCATATGAAAACAGGTCACCATAGTTGCTGTTTGGTGTACTGTGGTACTGGGTGATCTACGACTTGTGAATAGAAGTTGCCATGATTCCTCCAGCACAGGCTCCCATTCCGAATCCCGAGACTCTGGAAGAGAGCACCGAAGTTGAGGAGGTGGACGGAGTGCTTCAGTGCACGAGCGTTTGGTTGGCAATATGCTTTAGCTCGCAATACTTTGGTCCGATTTTTGACCACACCTAGCTCAAAATGTTTTGCGCCAGGCCCCCCTGCCAGTACCAGAGATTTTGCATGGCCCAACTCCTCAGCAGTGAAGTTCTGAAGAGGTTGCCAGGCAATGGACTTTAAATAGATCCGAATTATACAGTGTCTATCGGGCTTTGGGCCTCGGTTCCACTTGCCTGGGATGGCAGAGGTCCTACTCGGCGGCTGTGGCAGCACATTAAATCGCTGGGACTTTTACAAACCAGCGGCACCGTAACCAAACATAGTATGGCTCTTAGTTTCACCAGAGGCCGGGAAAAGCAAGAACTGGACTCAAGCGCCAATGCGCCAATCACTCGCAGCATGTTTTTGAACCCGCGAGGTGTTTTCAATCCGGTGATCCTGGTGGCAGGCTGCGAACGTAGCAATTTGCAATCTTGGATAGTCTTGGCAACAGAGCCTTTGAGATTGTCTTGGCGCTGTAGGTCTGATCAGTACGGTGATTGCCCTCTCAGCGGTCATCGCGCTAAACCTAGTCAATTTGCAACCTCGGGTTTCTCGAAGCCTCACGCATACAATGTGAATATATACATATATTATTACCCCCATGGGAATATCCTCTATAAAATCTGGGGGGATGTGTTCAGAAATCAGGGGGATTCTATAGAGAAAACACGTTTTTCTATAAAATCAAAAGGTTCATGTATATAAATAACATCATTGGAGAGAGCCTGTTTTCAAAATTAAAAGAGTCAAAAAAGTCAATCCCAAGAGTCAAAGTAAACAAGAAACTAGACGACGAGTGGCCCGAAAGCATTTTTCATCACGTAGGAAGTCAGAGTGCGAGTTATCCGGTAAGTGTGCAGTGAGAAGTGTGAAGTCGAGTGCGTTGAGGTAGTGTGTGGGTTTCTGTGCGTGCGTCTATGTCCGTGTGGAAATGAGTCTGCGTATGTATGTGTTCGTGTAAGTTGAGGGAGTGTGTGGGTGTCTGTGTGTGAAGCGGCCTCCCAAACCCCCCACCGGCGGCCAAGCGGTGACGGCCCAGCTCATCGTCGTGAGCATTTGGGCTGCTGGTAAGGGGAGAAGCAGCGTGCACGGCGCCAGGAAAAGCTCACGGAAAGAAACGAACCGGAATGAGGACACAAAAGTGCCGAGGCAGGTGCGCCAGAAGTGTCTCGAAGCAGTGACCTGTCAGAGGAGATGAACGAAGTAGCGCGCA